ATAACAGGCTGCTCACTCAGTCTTCTGTCAGAGATCAAACCTCAGTTTCAGTTTCCTGAGACTGAGCAAGCAGTTTCTGTAAGAACCACAAACCGTGGACAATCAATCTTCAACACCCCTGACTGTAGATGTAACCAACTGTCTTATTAAATAAGAAACACAGAGCCAATACAGAGATGAAAGCCAAGAGGTCAGAGCAATAGCTAAGAGCTAAAAACCTTACCCTTCACTGTTGCTGTGCCTCTCCGAAAGAGACCTACTTCCTGTGTCTGTCTTTTTTTATAGAGTTTCTGTTCTGCCTTCTCATTGGTTGTAAACCCAACCACATGACCTCCTAGTCACTGCCTGTCTGTACAGACCTCCAGGTCTTCTATGGTTGGTATTGAGATTAAAGGCGTGTGTCTCCAATGCTGGCTGGATCCTTGAACACACAGAGATCTACCTAGCTCTGCCTACCAAGTGCTGGGATTAAAGGCATGCACCACCACCGCCCAGCTTTCGCTATGGCTTGCTAATAGCTCTGACCCCTGGGCAACTTTATTTATTAACATACAAATCACATTTCAGTACAAATAAAATATCACCATACCTAACAGCAGGGACGAGGGAGATAGCATGTACCAAGCCTGGGCCATCCCTTACAGTGTCTCAAGGCAATGACCAGAGACAAATCTTCTATCCTGCCTTGGAACTTGACCAAACTTGCCCAAAGATGGTAAATCTGTAGCCCTAGCCAGCCCCTGCTAGCCCTAGCCAGCCCCTGCTAGCCCTAGCCAATTAGAAATGTATTAACATAGTTGCCACTTACGTAAGCCAATCATAGATAGGATGACCTAACTGCTTCTAGAATTCCTTTAGCTGTGTATAAAGGGAGCCTGGCAGCTTCTCTCAGGGTTGCCATTTTGCCTTTGTGTCAGATGTACGGTCTCAGCATGCTGGAACTCTTACTCTTGAGATAATAAACACCTGCTGATTGCATACGTGTCCAGTGGTCTTTTGTGGGACTTCTTGTGGACCCTAACAGTATGTATGGAAAACACGTGCATGGTTGGTGCCCATGAAAGTCAGAAGAGGGTGTTGGATCCCCTGGAACTGGAATTACGTACCGTTGTGAGCTGCCTTGGGCAGTGGATATCAAACCCAGGTCCAGCCAGTGCTCTTAAGCCCAGAGCCTTCTCTCCAGCCCCCACACTACTTTTCCAAGGACCATTCTGCTTCTCCATTGTTTCTCCCTGTCTAACTCTGTGCCTCTCTGAGTCCGGTTTCATCTCAGGAAGATGAATGAGCCCTCTCAGAGGTGTTGGGAGGGTTAAGATGATGCTGGTACCCAGGATAAGGAAGTGCTAGCCTCAGCCCTACTTGACTGAGGGTCTACAGTAAGGAGAAATGCCACCAGGGTGATGTCACCAGCAACACTACGGTGAAGAGAGCTGCCTGCCCCCCCCCCCAGATTCCAAGGGAAGCTCCTGAGGGGGCCACTCTCCTGATGGCTTCCCCTGACCTCCTGGAACAGTCTGCTAAACTGCTGACATCACCTCTCCAGGCAGCTCCCCAAGCCACAACAAACCCACCCCTTCCCACCTAGAGCTTTTCTTGAGATCAAAGATCACATGATCCAGGAAGCCTGCCTGTCCTTTTCATCTTTGTGTCTTCGGGGTCCAGTGCCGGGCCTGATACATAGGAGGTCTTTAGTACAAGGTTCCCCTTCCAGGCAGACCCTGGGACTTCCTCCCGCTCTGGGAAGCCCCACACAGGTCCCCATGAGTATGCGCTGTGTGTCTTCCTCACCCAGTGCCTCACTTCACTCATCCATGTCACATAAAGGAGGGAGGGTGCTTGTTACACAGATGAGGACTGAGCGTGAGACCAGATGGAAGGGGGGCTAGCTGCTAACCATGTGGTACCCCCATTGACCCCACAGGAAGCAGGTACCAAGGAATGGGGTGTGACTAGGGTACTATAAAAGCAGGGGGGAGGTGTGCATGTGTGTGTGTATACCCGTGTGTGTGTATACCCGTGTGTGTGTTACTGGGGATTGAGCCCAAGGCATCGCATGTGCTAGGTAAGTGCTCTACCACTGAGCTGTATCCCGAGGCTTTTTATATTGAGATGGGACTTCCCTGAATTGCCTGGGATGATGTGCTTGAAATTATTCAACAACCAAGTTAGTCTTGAACTTTCAATACACCTGCCTCAGCTTCCCAGGTAACTCGGATTACAGGTTTGTGCTACCAGATCTATCTTAGGGATGATAGAACTCCCCCACACATGTGTATAGAGCAGGTAGACTAGGCACTGATTTTTTTTTCTGCAGCAGAAGGAAGCAGAGGCTCCAAGCACGGGCGTGGGCACTCCTCCTAAGGCACGGGGAGAAAAGGACTAAGCCTCCAGCCAGCCTCATGGGCCATGTGCACTCCAGCTTCAGTTCTTGGGTGATAGGTAGGTCTGAGGTGATTGTGAATGTGATGTTCTCATCTTGACATGGATTATTTCATTGGATGCTCACACTTCAGATCTGACAAGGCTCAGAGAGGTTAGGAGCTTCCCCAGGGGGCCTCAACTAGTAAATAGCCAACTGAGATTTGAACCCAGCCCCACTTTGTTCTGCAGCCTCTTGAGTCCTAAGACCCTTCCTCCCCCACCTCCCCTCCCGTTTCTGGGCTATCAGCATTTCCTTCCATGCCCATTGGCTGCCTAGCCTGGTGACCCTGCCAATGCTCCCTCAGCAACCCCCCCCCCCCGCTGGGAAAACAGCCCCTGCTTGTGGCCCACAGCAGCTAGAGAGCCGCTTCCTTTCCCCCTCAAACCATCCATGTCTGCCTTCCTTCCACTGGGCTTTTCCTTCCGGGCCAGCAAAGTATGTGGCAAAAGCTGAGGATGGAATCCTGTCACCAAAATGTCTTTACTGTTTTCTGTGTGTCAAACGTGGTGTGGCTTTAGATAAGACCCAGAATCTTTCTGGGCCTCAGTTTACCCATGTGAGTACAGGGATAGTGATGCTAGCTACCCCACAGGGCTGCCATGTGGATTTGCCTGGGACAAGAGCTCGTTCCCTGCCTTCTTTTCTCCAGCTCAAGATCTTGGGCCATGAGCAGAAAGGACGGAAGGGGTCTTGGGAGATGGTTCAGTTGGTAAAGTGTCTGCCCTACAAGCACAAGGGCCTGAGTTCTATTCCTAATGCTCAATGTAAAAATCCAGATGTGATGCCAGGTGGTGGTGGTACATGCCTTTAATCCCAGCACTTGGGAGGCAGAGGTAGGTGAATCTCTGAGAGTTCAAGGCCAGCCTGGTCTACAGAAGGAGTTCCAGGATAGCCAGGGCTACACAGAGAAACCCTGTCTCAAAAGAAAACAAAACAAAAAATCCAGATGTGGTGACACATGCAATCTCACCGCTGAGAGGTAGAAACAGATGGATCCCTGAGGCTGGCTGGCCAGTAGCCTAGCCTAATCAGCAAGCCCCGGTCCCAGTGGGAGACTGTCTCAAGACACAAGCTAGATGGCTCCCGAGGAACAACACTTGAGGTTGACTCTGGCCTCCACAAGCATGTACACACATCTGCATCCACACACAAGACAGGGAAGGTGGGAATAGCCATTGCCCATCTGCTTTGTAGTATGTAAACTGAGGCCTGGAAAGAATGGTGACTCGCCCATAGGAATACCATGAATCGTCTATGGAGCCCCAATGACCACAGGATCCCCTGGCCCAAATCAAATCCAGGGATTGACAGCCTGAGTGGACTGCTACTGTTTGGCTGTTTGGAAGCCCCAACCTCCAACTGCCTAGCCTGGTGACCAAGCAGTACACACACACAGGGAACACATATGTTCAGCTTTATTTCTTTCCATGCCAAGAAATACAGAGTCACTAGTGTGTGTGGTGGGGAGGGGGCAGTTCTTGCTGTTCACCAGGAGGCCCAAAGAGAGGCAAGGTCAGTTCCCCCAGCCACTGTGTTCATGCAGCTGGCCCCGAACCAAGACAATGTTAGGACAGCAGGGCCCTTGTCCCTCCCAGCTTCGTGGGGACTGGGTGCCGAGAGAACTCTTCCTCAATCTCCTCCCATCCCAATGGCTTTTTCCTCCTGCCCTGTACTCCCCTCTGCCCAAGGGATACCCCGGGAACCCCTAGGCTGTGCCTCTGGAACCATGGGAAGGCTCTCAGCTAAGTCATTCCCTGATGCAGAGATTCCAAGTTCCGGACTGAAGAGTGAATAAGTGTGAGTGTGTGTGAGGGTGTGAATGACAGACCTACCGTACACTTGTGACTAGGGATTGGGGAGGAATGGCTGGGTGTGGGCTGGACTCCAGGGATGCAGCAGCTGAAGATAAAGCCACCTCTGCCTCTTCTCCCCTCATGACAATCCCTCATAACAATTCCCTCTTCTGTAGGGTCCTGAAGCTGGACCCCCAGTGTGTGTGTGTGTGTGTGTGTGTGTGTGTGTGTGTGTGTGTGTGTGTGTGTGTGTGTGTGTGTGTTGGGGGGGGGGTGCTTTAGGAAACTGTCCACTCAAGATCAGGAGCCTGTGATAGGCTGTTTCCATAGACAGTACATCTCCTCTGACCCAACCTCTCACCTCACACACACGTTCTGGACTCACACACCTACTTCCCACAGCAAATGGGGACATCTCTAGTTTGGCTTCAAAGATCCTGTAAAGGGTGCACAGCCAGTCCCTGCTTTGGGAACATAAGCCCAAGTTTATTCCCCCAATGAGAGCCTGATTTAGGAGCATCAACACCAGAGAGACACTCCCAACCCCTCGGCCCTCCCAGCAGGTGCTCTGACCTTGTCTGGGAGCCCCAGAGCCTCTCCTAGCGGCCAGTGCTCTGTGCTATCCTGCCCTGCCCAGGGTCCCTGAGATTGTAGGGAACCAGGCAGGGATTTCTGGGGAGGAAGTATCAGGTCCTAATTTTGCTCAGAGGAGATGAACTTCCAATCCCCACCCAGTGTGGCTGTGGTTTTAGCCCCCCCCCCCCCCCCCCATTGAAGCCAGTAGCCCTAGCCGCTGGGCAAGGAAAGCCTGGATCGTTCCTCCTCTCCCAGATCTGAGCTGAAGGTGGTGGTGGGGGGGGGGTATGACATTGGGTAGTGGTAGCTCAGAGCAAGCAAGGCCAGCAGGTGAAGCCCCTGTGGGCACAGTCTGTGCCAGGCAGAAAACTGGAGAAGCAGAGGCAAAAAGCAGGTGGCTAGTCGGCAGAAGGTTCTGTTCGGCTCCTTTCCCATGTTCTGCTAGGTCCTAAGACAGAGGCTGTAGCTACTGGGCCCTTACTCCCTGCCCCAGTCCCCACTCTCTAGACTGACCTTTCAGCTGGGCCTTTCCTTCTAGACTCCGGGGGCTCCAGATTAAGAAATAACAAGCCTTCTTAAGAATTCTCTAGCCCCCTCCCTTACAAAATGCAGCAAAGACTCCTGAGAGCCTATGAATCAGAGAGTCCAGTAAGAGTTTCAAAGTTACCCCTAGGGAGAGCCTTGGTTGCTGTGGATGGCCAGGGACACGGGACCAGGCACAGAGCATCCATTAAAGCTGGGCTAACAGCCTGAAGCCAGGGTCCACCTCAGCTCTTCTCTGTAGGATCCCTGAACGCCCTATAGAGGGCCCCTGAGTCACTTGCACGGGTTACCAAGATGGGATCCCAGACCCCTAAGGAGTCAGTGGCAGGAGAGCCCAGGCTCTGCCCCTCCCCCACGGCTGACCTGGGTCAGGTCAAGTTCTAGGACTTCCAGGTTGGTGCCTCTGGCTACAGCACAGGTGGGGAGCAAGAGGCAGACCCCATGGTTCTGGAAGGTGCTCTGGAACCAGAGTCCTTGGTAGAGAAGCCTCGAGGCTGAAGTTCAGTAAGAGGGCCCGGTGTGTCATGCTATCCCTATCCAATCTTCAGTGGAAGATTTCCACATGGCTCTGGCCTCTTTGCCGGTGGGTATTCAGGGCCCATGCTGAGTGAAACCTTCACCTTTGGACTCAGGCTAGGATCACCGTGGATGCTCCACGCAAAGCATGCAAGGAGTCTGCTTGCTCCCTATCAAGAAAAGTAGAAAAGACAGCGGCCCAGACTGTGCTCATGTTCACGGACACCAGGGTGTGCGGTGCTTCTTTCTTGACCGTGGAGTTGGTTTTCTTCCCGCTCTGGCAGTTTATGCTGTGTGTAAGTCCCAGGAATCGTGGGGAAAAGAAACAAGCCTGAGAACTGAGGTCAAAAGGCAAGTGATGTGTCTATGAGATTATTCATTGGGTTCACGGCCAACTTCATTCCAGATTTTCCTTCCCGTCGCCTGCCATGGGCTGACAGTGGAGTGCTGTAGAGGTTTCCCTCCACGTTTGTGCTTTTGGAGCTTGGGAACAGGTGGGGACTTGGCAGCCACCGTCCTGTCCTCTGTAATGTGTGGGGATGTGTGGGTTCGAAGCTCTCCAGCTGGCTGGCATCTGTCTCCGCTAGAAACGGCTCTGCGGTTACTTCGGAACTGTGAAGAAAAGAAGGGTTAGAGTGAAACTGTGCAGAGGACACTGGGTCTTCAGAGCCCCGATTTAAGGAGCTGTGAGCCCGTGTTAAATTGTCTCTTGGTGGGAAATGGTGACCAGGATGAGGTACAGGGTCAGGAACATCTTTGGTTTGGGGTTCTTGATGCAGGAACTCCCACCAATGAGAAGACTGTGGCTTTGGTGATTGGTTAGAGAAAGGTCATGTGACACTAACTGAACCAACCAAAATCAATCCTGGGACCTTTAGTCTGTTGTTAGAAGCAATTTTATTTATTTATTTATTTATTTATTTATTTATTTTATTTTTTATTTTTAAGGCAGGGTCTCACTAAGTAGCCTTGGCTAGCCTAGAGCTTGCCATGTAGATCAGGCCACCTGCCTCTGCCTCCGGAGTACTGAAATGAAAAACACAAGCTACCACACCCAACCTAAAGATGATTGATTTTCTTTTAGGCAGAGTCTCATGTGACCTAGGGTTGTCCCTAAACTCACTGGCCTTAAACTTCTGATCCTCCAGCAGCCACCTCCTAAGTGCTAGGATCACAGACACAAGCCACAGTGCCCCGTTCGTCACCTTTTTAAAATTACCGCTTAATTACTGGACTGGTTTGCATGTTTGCCTCTATTAGAACACTGTTACCCTGGTGATTGTCACCTGCCATCCTAAGGAGAGACCCTGCCTAGAAATTAAGTCAACACACTGAAAGCCGGACAAGATCATGAGATACATTCCTGTCACTTCCCTCCACGAGTCTAGATACAGCTTTGCACAGGACTAGAGCCGCCCATCCGGAAATACCTTTTAGGAAAGCTACAAACTTCTTTTGCCAAACTGAGTTCCAAAGTTGTCCCAGCAACAATGACAAGCAGCAGAACAAGTAGCCTGGGACACAGTAAGTGATAGGGATCCCAATGCCTCCAGCTGCTGGTCCCTGCCACTCACATGCCTGAACGCCCATCAAACTCCACGCTGACGGAGGAAGTCGAGGCTCAGAGCTTATGAAACATGAAACTTCATTTACACAGGAAGTGGATGGAGGATCTGAAGTCTGACCGAAAACCTGTATACTTGCTTCTCCTGAGTAGACAAGACTGCCCATGACCCTACACTGGGCCCCAGGCTCTGAGCACTTCCTACTCTAGGCCAGCACCACCTGCACTGGTACCTGAATTGGAAATCTTACTAGAATGCACATTCTGGGCTGGTGGCTAGTTCTATGGGAGGTTGCTTCCTTAGCATGAGTGAGGCCCTCAGTTCCATCCTCAACACCACCAAAGAAAGGAAGAAAGAGTCTAAGATGCAGATTTCCATTCAGTGGGGTCTGAGAGTCTAAAACAGCCCCAGGTGCAGAGCACATTTTGAACAGCAAGGTCTTTATGGGAGAGGCTTATATTGATCTCTGAAATAAACAGAAATGTCCCAGAGCGTCCCACGCTTGGGACAGCTCTGAGATAAATAGCCTCCACACCCTCAAAGCTAGGGCTGACAGTGTCCTCTGAAAAAGGTTTACACCTCGGACCAGTGCCCTGGGCCACCTTCAGGTACTAACAGCGCTGCTTGCTGCCTTCTTCCGAACACGCTGCGTGTTTCCGGTCTACCCTGACTGTGCAGCAAAGAGGCTTGGTCATCAGTCTCCAAAGCCATAGCATCCGTTATCCCGAGTAAGGCTTACAAAAGCCCTCTGTGGTAGAGGCTTCCTCTCTGCACTTTATACTTGAAAATGCAAGGTTCGGCCAAATGGGACACTGGCCCGGGTCCCAGGCCATCAAAGTTGAGACTGGAATTTGTCTCTGGTTCCTAGGGCAGTGCCCCTTCTAGACGCTTTTCTATTGATCCATAAGTCCAGGCATAAGATGAGTCAGAAAACCCGTCTTCACCTAAACAGTCTTGACTGAAGTGAAAGGTATGGCTACACCCTCACCACTGCCCTGTCCCCAGGGCTCTCTCTCTGCTCCGTGCCCCTGTGACTCACCTGTGAAGTTGACAGTGACAGCCACAATGATGATAACGATGCCCAGGATGATGAAGGTGATACTGAGCAGTCGCGCCAGGCGGCCCAGCCTCCGTGCCCCGTCCATGTCCCCCTGCTGCACACTACTTCGAGACTGCAGAGAGAGGGCAGAGAAACCTCAGGAAGCTTCACCTCAACCGTGTGGCATGGAAGCCACACAGTGGTCTTGTGAACTTCCAGATACGCCTCACCCTCCCGACCACCTACAGTCCAGCAGGCTCCTCCAGGACACATGACCTGGGCTTCTTGGGCAGACCCCTCTCCCAGGGGACTGCTGGGCAAAGGAACCAAACAATATCAGGTGCTTCTTCTCAGGGTAGTGACAGGGCAGGGACAGAGTGGCAGGGGCAGGTGATATAGTGGAGATCAAGGAATTGAGAGGGGGACAGGTCTAGGACAACTTGCAGGAAGAGTCAGACTAGAAACCCTGCAGACCCCCCCCCCCCAAGTCAATTCCACAGGCACGTGGGGACGGGAAGACAGTCCTGTGGTTTTCTCTACTCACAGCATGCCTGATCTCCTTCTCCCATGACCTCCTTGCCACAAAAGCAAAGGCACTGGCCTCTCTCCTAGTTCCTTCCATGGCCATGACCTTGTTCAACACAGCCCACCTTTGTGATCCCATAAGGGAAGCCAGGGCTGGCTCCATGTCTTCAAAGTCCTTACCCTAGAGTCTCTCTGTCCCTCTTGGGCTTCATGGGTTAACTGGGGTGTGACTGCTTTGGGGGCCACAGACACACTGGAGGCTTCTTCTCAGTACTTTATACTTGAAAACACAGTGTTCAGCCAGGCAGGACACTGGCCCAGGTCCCAGGTCATCAGAGCTGAGACTGGACATGTGGCCTCTGACTCTCAGCCCCTTTGTATTTTTCTTTCTATTGATCCAGCAAGTCCGGGCATAAGATGAATTTGTTTTGGAGTTTTGTAGTGTTAAGGATAAAACCCGGGGTTTTGCCTGTGCTTGGCAAGCACTTTACTACTGAGCTTTATCTTCAGCCCTTTAAAATGTGTGTGTGTGTGTGTGTGTGTGTGTGTGTGTGTGTGTGTATGTATGTATGTATGTATGTATGTATGTATGTATATATGTATGTATGTATGTACGGGTCTTGCTAAATTATCTGGTCTGATCTTAAATTCATTCTGTAGTCCAAGCAATTGTTGAACCCTCAATCCTCCTGCCTCAGCCTGCCAAGTAGTTGGAGTTCCAGGCCTGCATGACCAGGCCTACATAGATATTTATCTTCTGACTCAAAGAGACTTGGACCTGTGCAGCAGAGACATGTAGTCAAGAACCTTGACTGTGGAGTGGTGGTGGTGGTGGTGGTGGTAGTGGTGGTGGTGGTGGGGTGGTGGTGTGGTGGTGGTGGTGGTGGTGATGGTGGTGGTGGTAGTGTGGTGGTGGTGGTAGTGTGGTGGTGGTGGTAGTGGTGTGGTGGGGGTGAGGGGGTGGTGGTGGTGGTGGTGGTGTGGTGGTGGTGGTGGAGGTGGTGGTGGTGTGGTGGTAATGATGACAGTGACTAACTGAGCCCTGACTTGTACCAGGCAGCTTGCTCAGGGTGGCACCTAGAGATCTCACCCTGCCTCAGAATCATCCTATCAGGGTGGCAGGTGCTGCCCCACTTCCCTGACTTAAAAAAAACGAAAACAAAAACAAAAAACTAAGGGACAGAGACATGAGACATAACCTCTCTTCTCTCCTCACGAATGTATCCCCACCCCTGTGTCAGTGCCCTGACCTCTTTTCTCAGATTCTAACCCATCCCCTAACTGCATTCCACCCCAAGCGACTGCCAGGACATAGTGGCATCCAGCTGCCCCTTGCTCTCTGAGACGCCTCTCACTTGCCTACACCCCACTTACTGGCAACAGCTGCATCCACCACCTAAGTCACGACTGGTTTCTTGTCTCTTTGTTCATTTTGAGCACTGGGGATTGAACCTAGGGCCTGTGCATGCTAAGCAACGGCCCTCCCACTGAGCCACATTCTCAGAGCCCACCGTGATGATGTGTTTCCTCTCCCAGTCAATTCCGTTGCTATGCTGCTCTCTAACATCCTTGTACCTAGTTTTCCCCCTTTTACCCAAGCTGTGGCAATAGCGTCCTAAAGATCCTTCTGGAAGCCAGGCGGTGGTGGCCATGCCTTTAACCCCAGCACTCGGGAGGCAGAGGCAGGTGGATCTCTGTGAGTTCGAGGTCAGCCTGGTCTACAGAGCGAGATCCAGGACAGGCTCCAAAATTACACGGAGAAACCCTGTCTCGAAAACCAAACCAAACCAAACAAAACAAAAACAAAAACAAAAAAGCCGGAGAGATGATGACTCAGTTCACACAGCGCTTGCTCTGCCAGGTCCACAGCGCCCATGCACAGAATCAGGCCATGTTGGTATGCCTGAGCACAAGGTTCAGATTTTTCAATCTGTACGTGTGTATCTGTGTGAGAGCATGTCACATGTGTGAATGCCTGTGGAGGCCAGAAGAGGGCATCAGATCCCCTGTAGCTGGAGTTACAGGCAGTTGTGAGCTGCCGGGTGTGGGTGCTGAGTCCTCCCGAAGAGCAGCAAGTGCTCTTAACCACTGAACCATCTCTCCAGCCTCTGCACAAGGGGTGTGTGTGTGTGTGTGTGTGTGTGTGTGTGTGTGTGTGTGTGTACACCAAAATGTAGAAAACATGACAGTTAAAGAATAAAAAGAGTGATTCAAACTCCTAGTAAAATGTGTTCATTTAGCCAGGCAGTGGTGGCACACACCTTTAACCCCAGCACTCAGGAGGCAGAGGCAGGCGGATCTCAGGGAGTTCAGGGCCAGTCTGGTCTACAGAGTGAGTTCCAGGACAGCCAGGACTGTTACACAAAGAAACCCTGTCTTGAAAAAAAAAATGTGTTCATTCAGCTCTGTTGAGACTATGAAAGATTGGTAAAACTTAGTTTAAAATTTAAATTGCTAACTTCAAAAAAAAAAAGAATAGTAAGGTGGAGAGTAACTAAGAAAGACATCAGAAATTGACCTCTGGTCTCCACATGTACATGCACCCTGCTACATACACACACACACACACACACACACACACACACACACACACACACACACACACAGTTTAGAGGCTGAAGAGATGTCTCAGTGGGTAAGAGCACTGGTCCCTCCTCCAGAGGACCCAGGTTTGATTCCCAATGCCCACATGGCAGCTCATAACCTTCTGTAACAGTTCCAGGGGATCTGACACCTTCTTCTGGCCTCTGAGGGTGATGCATGAATGTCGTGAACAGATATACACACAGGCAAAACACTATACATGTAAAATAATAATTTTTAAAATTATTAGTTGCATGCCTGTTAGCCCAGCATTGGGAGAGGAGGTGAAGAGACAGATCCCAAGCTCACATGCCAGCCAGTGTAGATAGAACAGAGCTTCTGGTTCTGTGAGAGACTCCATCACAAGGCAAAAAGAGAGGGACAGAGGAAGACACCCCAAGTCCTCCTCTGGCTGCCACACACACATACACCACACACAACTGGCTCCCACACACACATACACCACACATGAATGCACATACACACATACACCTGTGCACAAATGCGAATGCACACATACACCACACATGAATGCACATATACACATATACCTGTGCACAAATGCGAATGCACACATACACCACACACAACTGGCTGCCACACACACATACACCGCACATGAATGCACACACACACATACACCTGTGCACAAATGCGAATGCACATGTACACATACACCTGTACACAATGGAGGCTGAGGTAGTCCTATCTACTCAGCATCTCATAGGCTGTCCATAGAAAGAGCCCCAACTCCGGTCAACTTTAAACCCTTACTGCTCTCTTCCATGAGCTCCAGGAGGCCACTCTGTGCTGCCCAAGGCATGATGAGTCCTGACCTTTGCTCCTTTCCAGTCTTCTGCTTCCCCGAATCCTATGTGACCAAATCCTCCCAACAATCAAGGGCTTACTCCAGTAACACCTCTTCTGTGAAGCATGCCAAGATTCTTCCACCTCTGGGGTGTAAAAAACAAACCCTCCTAATATTTGGGTGTTAACCTTGTGTCAAGATCTATACTGGTGGCACACATCTTTAATCCCAGCACTCGGGAGGCAGAGCCAGGCGGATCTCTGTGAGTTCGAGGCCAGCCTGGGCTACAGAGTGAGTTCCAGGAAAGACGCAAAGCTACACAGAGAAACCCTGTCTCGAAACAACAACAACAACAACAACAAAAGATTTATACTGAGGGTATTTCATTCTCTGAATACATTTATGAGGGGGGAAGGAGCCAGAGCGTAGAGCACTGTGTGTGCATAGTGGGAGATGCAGTTACCAGAGAAAGGCCACATCAGGAAGAGCCACCATATACAGTATGACTGACACCTGCCTGTGACACGTGCCTGTAATCCCATCACTCTGGGAGACTGAGTCAGGAAGACTGTGAGCTTGAGGCTAGCCTGGGTTACATAGCCAATTTGAGGGTAGCCTGGGCTAAATAGTGAGATCTTGTGGAAGAAGAGGGCAAAGAAGGGAGGAGGGGGAGGAGGAGCAGGAGGCACCTTGGCTGCTGTGTATGTAGCAGAGGCTAGATTTGATCCCGGAGGGCAATAAATGGGTTTATTTTTGTTGTTGTTTATTCGAGACAGGGTTTCTGTGTGTAGCCTTGGCTGTCCTGGACCTCAGAGATCCACCTGCCTCTGCCTCCTGAGTGTTGGGATTAAAGGTGTGCGCTACCACAGCCGGCCTTGTCCTAATGAAGGATTTTAATGGTGGACCAAACGAGACTTGCATCGGGGAATGTAAGTCTGACTACAGCGTGGCGGCTAAGCTAGACAGATGGAGGCAGATTCAAAGACATGAAATGAATAATGATCTGGACAAGAGCCCAGCCTGAAGAAGTGATGGAACTGGAGGTAATACACAGAGGGAAAAGAGACTGTCTGAGATGATGTGGAGGTCTCTGGCTGGATTGATGGAAAAGTGGAGTTGAGATGCCTGGGCACTATCAATTTGTCTAAGTTTGGGACACACTCATGAATCCATGTCACCCCCAGCCACCTGGATGGTTAGCCCAGGTCACTGAATCC